ATTTACAATCCTCCTGCCTCAACCTCCCCATTTGTGGGCATTGCAGGGTGTGAACTTGGTTTTATTTTCTTTTCTGAGTTTGATTCTTAATTTCCATTTTCCTTTTTTCTCCATTTTTATTCTAAGTTTTTGGATTCTAATTTTTTCAATAGCTGAAATGCTTCTATATTTGCTAATCTAGGTTTTAGCATTTGTTGAACTTTTCTTCTGCTTTCTGTTTTTTTATGTAAGAGAAATTTACTAAAATGTTTTGATTTTCATTTTCTGTTTTTTCTCTTAGTTATTCCTTTTAATTTCTTTTTCTTGCATATTGTCTGCAAACTCTTCTTCAGTTTAAAATATCTTATACCTGGCAATAATAGGGCAAGTATAAAAGTTGGGTGACTTATTAGGCTTCTTAGTTCTAGTGTATCCTTTTTTATCTATAGTAAAGTTAGCATTTTCTGTACTCAATGAAAGTATTTATTGGAATGATTGGGCATGCTTTCTGTTGGGAAGGTGTAGAGGGAACAATAATGTCTTCAAAGTAGTTTCCTGTGACACTTCCAAGAGAAGATGCCCAGTAAACAGATCCGATGAAAGAGCTCCCTCATTTTGAGAAGGGGAAAGAGCAGGACACTGAACAAAGTTGGAAGGGATTATTTTAGATGAGGAAGACCCATACATGGCAATAAAAGAGAGGCACAGATAGTTACATGTGCAGAAGTATGATGTGCAGGTAGTATGACAGTTTGATGGCAGGGTGTTTTAATCCTTTTTTTTTTTTTTAAGTACGTGTTCTCACCTATTGAAAGAGGAGCGGGAACAAAGAGCATTGTTGGTTTGAGAACTTTTTATATAGCAGAAAGTTCTTTTATATATATGTGGAAAATGTGACAGAGAAACGATGAAGCAAATACAAAAATTTCACCAAAGTCTAGTTTAAGCTGTGTGATTTCAATGCTATTTCCCTCCATACCTAGAACAGGGAAATGTCTGAGGCAGCCTTCAGTTTGGTTTACTCAACATTGGGATATGCATAAGTAGTTACAGTGGCTGAACAATTAGGTGTAAAGGAGTAAGAACTTAAGAATTTTAGAGAGTGGTTCAAATTATGAAATACGTTTTTTAAGTTGGAAATGAAACTAAATGATTGGAAAAGACAGAATGCAACAAAAGATATATGCATTTTAAAAATATTTACTTAATGCCTGGATCTTTCCCCAATATTAAAAAAAAAAAAAAATTGGGGGAAGGGGCTACTGAGCATTGAGCCCAGGGGCACTTTACCACTGGGTTATATCCTCAGTTCTTTTTATTTTGAGACAGTGTCTCATGATTTTGCTCAGGCTGACCTGAAACTTGCAATCCTTCTGCCTCAGCCTCCTGGGTAACTGGGATTGCACATGTTGTCTACCACACCCAGTTTTCCCCATTACTTTATATGATTTTTCTCATTAATATCATGAATCATTTTGAGTTATAAGGGAAAAATATTTTTATCGTCTTATAGATGAGAAATCCAAGTAACAGAGAGATTAAATAACTTGTCTAAGATCACGTAGTCATCATTTAATAACCAATAAAAATTCCTTTCACCAAATTATTGAAAAATCATGTTACATCCAAATACTCTTCCTCAAATATAGAAAATAGTGATGAAACTGGTGATTCCATTATTTTTATGACATTGAAACTAGATTAATATAAGGACTAATCTAATTTTTTAAATATTCCTTTTTCCTAATTTATTATGGCAAACCATAACATTTTCAAATATGAAACCAATATATGCTATTTGAAAATGATGTAACCTAAAACAATCAGGAGTAAAGGATTTTTAAAACCCTAACTTTCTTGATGTCAGTGGATCTGGCCTTCTATGGCTGGAGCTATGCAAAGCACTTTCATAAAAGCTCTATTCCATTTTTTCTCAAAAAAAAAAAAAAATCGGTGAAGTTGGGATTACCAGTGGTATTTAATATATAAATTCATGTTCAGTGAGATTAAAGGATTTTGTCTGATATGCACAGTTAGTTTCATGGCAGAGTGAGAATCCCAGTCCTAGTTTGGGTGCAACCCTCTGCAGGATTTCTTCCACACATCTTGTCTGTGTTTATTTGGTTAGCCCAGAGAAGCTTCCCTAGGCTCACATCTTCAGTATATCCTTAGGCATGCTCAAGATTTGTTTATATACTAAGAATAAACTATGCAGTAAGATCAAAGTAAAAATAAAGCATTTCCTTAATAGAAAGTTAAGATCTTCCTCCCATTGTATTATCATGATAAATAAACCATACCTTCCACCTGATTTTGAGGATTGCAATGACTGTGATCTAAATTACTCTCTTCTTTTATTCTTTTTATTATATATTATTCTTTTATTTTTGTGGGTAAGTACCAAAGACCACAGTATGAAAAGAAATACATATGCAGTGCCAGTTTCACATGTCTGTTTTTGGTTAAAGCTCCTTTTTAAAAATAACTGGTCTGTTGTGAAATAAATCATCTTAGATATTAGCTATAGAAATTAGACTGAGGGAAAATGTTAAACATGACAGTTTCTCAATTATTTTATTTCAAAAAGGAAGTTAATGGCAGAATAGAAAAATAACTCAGAGGAGGAACTGTGATTTATGTTTTTTCCATAAACCAAACAAACTGACTTGTACCAGGTTTTCCACATCATGAAATCAGTCAAATATTCAGGTTAAGTTCTGGGTGTAATACTGAATTTCTCAGGCTAGTTATGTATTACATTTTTATTTTAGGGGAAATGGCCAAATTATCTTTTCATCTCCTAATGAAACATTGTTAAAATACATTATTAAAAGAATGAAGATATTCTTCCTAGGTAAAGATCACTGGCTATTGCCATATAATAACTAATCTTCATAATTTTCCAACAGCAAATGCTGTAACTCTATCCACAAGTATTTTTTGTTTGTTTGTTTCTTTTGTTCCCTTGAAATTGAGCACTTAAGAATCAATAGTCAATTGCTCCTTCCTTGTTATGCTCTAGTGATTGTAAAGAAGAGGGGACATAGTCTCATATTATGTTTTGGGCTATTTCAAGCATGGTAGGCGATTAAAAAAAAACATGTAAGATAAGTTTCTTGCTTTTAACAAATGCAAATCAGGAAAACAGCACTCATGTAAACAAGACTCCTGCTGAACAATCTGGCCATCATAACACTTAGCACTAAATATATGGCTATACAATGCAATAGTTGTTCATAAAAGACCGGAATTTATGAGAGCAAAAGGCATCTGATCTGTAAGTCTCTATCTTGAAATCTGTTGTGAAATAAATCGTCTTAGATATTAGCTATAGAAATTAGACTGAGGACCAGAGCTATAGCTCTCAAAGTGTGGTCCCAAGGCCAGCAGTATCAGCACCTCCTGCAAATTGAAATTTTTCCTTTCAAAGAAGTTCCCCTGTGGAGAAAGAAATTAGTGAGTCAGATCTAGCTGGTCTGAGGGCCATATTTGAAAACCAGTGACTTGAATGATTCTTCCTTATTGTTGATAGAGTTGAGTTCAGATAAAGATATTGTATCATTCCTCTATAGTATTTAGAACCTTTTATGATCCTTTTCCCTAATTTTTCAGGCATTTAAAAACTAGAGCTCTCAAACTAAATAGAGTCAACATACTCTTTTACTTTGTCTGAAATTTTCATAAGCTGTTCTATGAGACCACTGGACCCACAGGTAATCCATAGGGAAACATTCTTTGCTGCTTTTGTCCTCAACTGTCATCTGGTGTTTGTAAATAAAAGTGGAACAGATAAAATATTTGGCTTTGGTTGATATTTCACTGTGCTAATGAAATGTAAAGAATTCATTAAACAAGGTGATACGTTTAAATTTTCTTCTAAGTGCTGATTATGTCTGTTAAGTTTGCTTCATTTTCTATAATTTGGGGAAAATAGAAAGTAGATCTATGAAAATAAAATTGTAATATGCTTCTGTTCACATATTCTGAGGCTCTTTCTACCTTAATCCTGTTTCAGTGCAGGTATCTGAGACATTTGTAAGAACAATGCTTTAGTTCTTCTTGATCTCATTCACTCAGCATGCAATGTTCTCTCTGTTGTGAAACAGGTGTGGAATAACTGCCAACAGGGAACTTGGCTTGTGATGCAGTACTTGGTTGGACAGAAGCAAAACATGGCTCTTACTATTAGTTTTAAACATTCTAGATATTGGAGTATCTATTTCATGAAGCTCCTCTACTACTCTAATTTTATTCAGGCAATTTAGGTTTATTAATCTGTGGGTGCTATGTGTTTAGGATTATATTCAGCTAATGCTTATTGTTTTATAAGATAGGGTGTTAGATTCTTTATATATATTAGCAACTGATTCATGTGGGAGATGTTTTAGCATAACAGAAGGTAGATATAAAATAAAATGCTTAAATATCTGAGCATAATAATGTAAAGATATATAACTGAAGAGTATTAAAAAGTATTGATGGTTATCTAAAAAATATACATTTTAAATATTTATTTTGAATAGGTGAATACCAAATTAATGGGGCCAGATAATTTCAAGTAATAACTTATATGTAACTCCATTTATAATAAAAGTTTTATTTAGATATTAAAATGCAACTCTTGGAAGGCAGCATCAAATTAGGTCTAGTAGGATGACCATTTTTAAAATAAAGATTAAGATCAAAGTAAACATGAAAAGGACTAATATAGAACATTGGTCACACTCACATTGAAGATAAGAATATCAATCCTCCTAATAAAACAAATAATTACTAAATAGGCTCACAGTTATTTCATAACTCAACTATCTGTCACCATGTATAAATTTTTGATGTTTATATTGTCACTTTATGAACTTTTTAAAGGTTATTTGATGTCAGGAAAAGTTATTAATAATTCAGAAGTAATTCTTATTTTCATCTGTGTTTAGCATGCTATAATATGTAAATTTTTAACATATAATAATATTTTAGTAAATGAACTTAAAAATGGAATTTTCCTTTTATTAAATCATTTACAGGGAGAAGCAGGATCCCCAGGTGCACCAGGGCAGGATGGACCACGGGGAGAGCCTGTGAGTACCTTCTTGACAGGTCATGAAATCCTATTTCATGATATTTAATTTCTCCCCCCAGATGTCCTGTTCTTATTCACTGACTTCCAAAGTTTGGATGTTGAGAAGGGGTTTGTGGAACATTGTACCATACTGAAAGATTGAATCCTCTTTCATAAACCAGGAAGAATGTTGCATGGGGTATGAATCATGACCACAAATGCTCAGGCCCAGATAAGCCATTGGTAAACATCATGGTCTTTTCTTTAGTCAGTGTTGCTTTGCCACATGTCTGCTTTTTCATAGTAGGCTCTTGGGGATTGTGTCTTCAATAAAAGGAGTGCAGAGACATGATTAAGAGAGTACTGACTGAATTCTAGCTTTTTAGCAAGTATCCTAGATAACTCTTAACTTCAGATGGGTTTTGGAAATATAGATTGCTGCCCCCCTTTATTCCTAAAACTCGTGGCCAACATTTAAATACTAGTAGATTTCATTTTAATCATTAAAGGTATCTGTCCTCCAGGAATTCACATCTGCTTTGGGAGGACCTAGGTCAAGAAGTAAAATGAAGGCTAGATATTATTTATCTAGCATTTATCACAAAGTGTTCAGTTGGGAGTTCAGAGTCTAAATGTAGATAAGACCTGGATGGAGAGAGAAATCACCAAGATGTCTTAAACAAGGAAGAGGGATTGATTACTCTTGGAATTACTCAGATTTCACTGAATTCTCATTTTTGGGTATTGTATTGCACTGGATCCAGTTCTATACAGAGCTACTGCCTTTATGAAGCATATAATCTAATTTGGAAAATTGAAATAAAGGATACAAATGACACCCAACTTAAGGCTGTTTGTCATCAGTGCTGTGTATGAACTTGACATGGACCCAAAAGACCAGGGTTTAAAAGCCAATCTCTGCCATGTTCCAGCTCTGTAAGTCAAGTTCATATCTCTTAATACCTTCCTTTTCATCTAAATTGTGCTTACAATGCCCTCTTCATAGGAGTTGTTGTGAGTCTTATGTAGGACCCCCCCTCCCCACCAAATTGTGAAAACATTATACAAATTCATGGGGTCAGTGCTAAGCGTACTGCATCTTGGATGGTTGAGAAATTTTTACCAAGGATTTGGGGCTAGGTTTGGTAATGAAAGGATGGCTAGAATGGAAGGAAGAGAGAGGACTAACATGAGTGAAAGCACACAGGTACAATGGTTACAGATGTGCCCAAGCAACCATGAAATCATCTTAATAAGGTCCTAAGGCTGTAGAGAAGGGTCCAGCTTGGGTAGTAGGAAAACTAGAAAGGTAGATTGGACTGTCTACTTGATTTAGGGGAGAGAGCATCCAAGTTACTCCTGTCACTACCCCATCTAAGAAGTGCATTAGAAGTAGTTTATGAGTTTTTCATCCATACAGTGGATGTAAAGAAAGAGACTGGAATCAGAGCAACAATTCCTGGGCTATTTTGACAGACTAGGCCTGAGGTACAGGGCCTCAACCAGAGTGTTAACAGGAAGAGTGAGTGCACTCAGTTTACCTGAGCCATAATCATCATTATTGAAGATAAAACTTAGGACTTGCTATGTGAATGTGAGCTTGGGTGAGACTATTATGTTCTTTTTTTCCCCCTCAGAAAGAGTATGAAGAGAAAGAGACAAAGAGAAGCAGATACAGAGACAGACAGGGGAGTGGGTTGCTGAGAACCAGGTTATAGCCTATGAAGCAACCATGTTCTAAATGTGGGTTAGTTATTTGGAATCTGCAGTTCATTTTCCCATAGAAATAATGCTATAATGGGAAGACTGACCAGTAAATCTATGTAAGCCATAATGTAATATAAGGAGAATGCATGTACTTTGAAAATAAAAAAATTTCAATCATTTTTAATAAAACCAGAAAAGAGAAAAGAATATTAAATGGGAAATGAGGGTGATTAGGGGTGCTTCCTTCCCTCCGGCTGCCCATACCTCACTTTCAGCCAGAAGCTGACCCGGTCTGCATGTGTTCTTGCCCTGCATGCTCCCACTTTTTTTTTTTTTTTTTTCCAATTTTACGTTTTTGCTTCTTCCTTTCTACCAACATTTGCTGCATTCTTCTAATGTTTGAGTGAGAATCACAGGGACTGCCTCTAGAAGGCTTCCAGCCTAGTGGGAATAACAGATGGTCAAAGGATAAACAAAACAGAAATGAAATGAGAATTTTCAAAAAGATAGGCCAACAAGTGGCTAAGACAGGAAATGATCAGAATGGGGTAGTGGCTATTTAGATGCAATCTCTCTAAACCAAGTAGACAGAAAACTAGGAGTTACTGAGTGAGATTCTTAGCAACTCTCTCAGGCCACTTTACCAGATGGGAAGGCAGGAGCAGGATCCCTTATCCCTTTCCTCCAGCTCCCCTCTCTTTCCTGGTGAATGACAAAAAGGCAGTCAGGTTTCCTAAGCCAGGAACCATAGTCTGTTGGGAAAGCGATGAATAGATGATGCATCTAAAATTTGCCAATGTCTGGCTATAATCCTCCTGGTCTGTAATCACTTCCAAATAAGAATGTGTAGCATTGTAAGCTATTCTGTTATTTTGACAATTCATTGAAACATGGTTGTTAGAAATGTTATGCTGCAAAAAAATGATCTTTGCCATTTGTGGAAAGGTTTTGAAAACAAATGAACAAAACCCTCTAATGTTTATTTGTTTTGTGATGCAAAGAAATGAAAACTCCAGTTCCTGTGAATACTGGTTTTAAGGATTTGTAATGAATGATTTGGCCCCAGTAAAAAGGACATGTTCAATATATTTGTTGTGCAATGTGGCAGCCAAGAAAATTAATGGAGCTTAAATTGGAAGGACAGAAGCTCTTAGAAAATACTTTAAAGCTAATTAAACACAGATTATGGCAGTGTGATAGTGATTCATTCCTGTAAGCAGATTGATACATAGGAATACCATCTCCTGGAATTCAAACTGAGCGCAAAGATTTTATTTCATTGGGAAATGATTACATGGCTTTAAATTACAAGTCATTTACACTCCAGTTCTTTGAATTTTAAGGCTAGTATCGATCATTCCTAAAAACAATTCAATCCTAAAAGCAATGTACTTTATAAATAGCAATTTATACCCAATTTACTTCAATCCAGTTAAGTACAACCTAAATTTGAACACTTGCTACTTTAATTATAATTTGCTTCAGCTTTGAATTACTATGTTTGAGGATCACATTAGTTATCAGTTATTCATTCAAAAAGCATTTACTGAGTACCTACTTTGTACTAGACATTATACTAACTCAGGAGAATGTGAAGATTAGACTCTACCTTCAAAAAGTCAGAGGAGCCAATAGATGACAACCTGGCATGGATGCTATGAAACAAGGCACAGGGTCTTGAAAAATTGTAGAAGATGTGCATAACCCTATATGTAGTTGGGGATGTCACTGAAAGGGATGTGTTCTTTCTATAAAATAATACCTTTAATAGATAAAATTCACATACAGTGTAGTTGATATATTTACATTGTACATGGTACATTCCAAAGTTTGGAAGACAAATAGGAGTTGTCTAGCTGTGTTAAGTTGGCAAGGCAGGAGCATATAGCATATTCCAAAACAGAAGTAAAAGAAGGTATGATACTCTGAGAAGAGCTGATGCTAGTTCAGGCTAACTGGGTTCACTGAGTGGAAGGGATAGAAGTAAATGAAGTTGTCAGGGCAGGCAGAGGTCAGATCATGATGGGGTTTTGTCTGAGTCAATTGGTGTTAAGTCTCCAAATAAAGTTGGGAGCCACCCAAAGGTTTTATGTAGGGAAGTGGGTTGATCAGGTTTAAGTTTTAGAAAAATCCCAACAGCAAATAGGAAGTCAGTGTGGGTCAAGAGAGGAGAAAGCCTGGCAGCAGTCTAGTTGAACTCTGTCACCTTTAGTACCAACAAAGGCAAGAACTTTCAGAACTGGGAGTGAGAAAATGGACTGATTTGAAATGGACTAAAGCAGGGCTTGAGGCCATCTTAGTGCATGGTTGAAGGCAGAGAAACACAAAGCAATAACCAGAATAGAACAAGAAGAATAGTTTTAGCCAAGGATCACTTAAGGCATTTTGAAATGGAACATATCTAGATAATAATAAAGATATTTGAACAGGTAATCTATATCTTTGAGTAGTTATAAAGAACAGATTCATTAAAAATGAGTATTTATAAATTTTTTTAATTTATTTTTTTGTGTGAAAACATCAGAAATTTATTAGTTGCTCAAAACATTACATTGATCTTGACATATTATATATCATACATTTGATTCAAATGGGGTATGAATTCTTATTTTTCCCACGTGTACATAAAATTTTTAATAAGAAATAGCAGACCACATGCCTGTAGCCTCAACACTTGGAAGGCTCAGGAGGGTGGATCACTTGAATCTAGGAGTTTGAGACCAGCCTAGCCAACATAGTGAGACCCCATTTCAAAAATAAATAAATAATCTAGTTCAATGTAATTCAACAGCTCCTCCTCATGGCTTATCCAGTGGATTTGGTAGTTTCTTAGCCAGTCCCCACAAATGCATGAGCTAATTCTTTGCAGTAAATCTCTGGACTGTAGTTGTGTTAGAAAGCAGAACTTGGTGAATATTTAGCTGAGATTTCCAAGCAAAGTGATGAATGTATGGTTTGATTTCTTTTTGCTGCTTGTAGTAAAGTGTGAGGAGAAAAGGGCAAGTTGAGGAAAAAACTTGGGCAAAGAAGAATGAGCACTTGATGATTTGGGAATGTTTCAGCTTTATCCCCATTGCAGAAGCTATCAAAATTGGTAGATTGGCTGTTAGAAAAGCATGCTGGTGGAAAGGCTAAGAACATGACTGAACAAACTTTTATTGGTCCTAAATAGGTAAGGAGTATGCCTTCTCTATTGACTCAACCATCCTAGTAGAATTCCCGTAGAAGAGCCTCTTATCTAATTGCATGAATCCCCATGAAAGATACGGGAAAACTACACATTTTAAGAATAGATTGAATGGTGTGGAGACA